CCACAATTCGACCAGCTAAGATCTGTACTTCTTTAACATTCGTCGGCGGCTTCATCTCCATTACAACTCGAACCTTCTCCGGATTTACCTCAATACCTCTCTTGGTCATCAAGTAGCCCAAGAACTTCCCCGATCTCACCCCAAAAGAGCACTTAGCAGGATTTAATTTCATCCCATATCTCCGCAATGTTAGGAATGTTTCTCTCAAGTCTCGCAATGATCCAACTCCTCCTTGCTTTTCACCAACATAGCGTCCACATATACCTCCATGTTCCTCCCCAGTTGCTCCTTGAAAATTTTATCGACCAATCTTTGATATGTGGCACCCGCATTCTTTAGACCGAATGGCATGACCACGTAACAATAGGTCCCTCGATTTGTTACAAAACTCACACGCTTCATGTCTTCTCTTGCCAAGGGAATTTGATGATATCCCTGGGAGGCATCCATCAGGCTCAGCAATTCGCACCCTACCGTTGAGTCGACCAGCTGGTCGATTCTGGGCAGCGGGTATAGATCCTTCGGGCACGCTTTGTTCAGGTCACGAAAATCAATGCACATCCTCCATTTTCCCTCCGCCTTCGACACCATCACCATATTTGACAACCATTCGGGGAACTGGATTTCCTTGATATGCGCTGCTCCCAATAACTTCTCGACCTCCTTCTCAATGATTTTGTCCATCTCGGCCCCATGGTGTCTTCTTTTTAGCTTCACCGGCCTCACACTGAGGTCGATGTTCAGCCGGTGCTCGATCACTTCCGCACTTATCCCCGTTAACTCCTCCGCGGTGTAGGCAAAAATGTCCGCGAACTCCCTGACCAGATCGATAAGCCTCGACCGGATAGGCTCCTCCAAGTCTTTCCCGATTCTGAACTTCCTCTCTTCACACCCCTCTATCATCTGAATCTCCTCCACCTCTCCCCGTGGCTGAATATCCATCTTCTCCTTGCCCTTGTCCATTCTTCGCTTATCCTCTTTCTATCTCGACCCACCTGGCCGATTAATCCTCTCCTCCTCTGACTGGGCCTGCCTCCTCGCCAGCTGCTTATTATTGCTAACCGTCGTTTGGTAGCAGCTCCTCGAAGTGAGCTGGACCCCAGCAATCTTTCCTACGTTTTCGCCCACCGGATATTTAATCGTCATGTGGTACGTGGATACGACCGC